TATTAATTTACATATTTTTAATTTTGTTTTAGAATAAGTAAGTTTATTAATAAAGGGGTACATTATTTTACATATTTATTATTGTGTTCATGAACTAGTGACTCGTAAAACATTTCTTAAAGATGGTCATTATCAATTATGGTGCCAAAAAACACATAAGAGCTTAGTAATAATAGAGTGTTCCAATAATAAACTTTCATTAAACAGAGAGGAGACAGACTGTCTTTCAAAGGAACTGTGTTAAAAAAAAAGTTACAAATAATCATAACTTTTTTTATTGACAAATATATACATATATATATATATATATATATACATATATATATATATGTGTGTGTGTGTATATATATATGTGTGTATATATATATATATATATATATATATATATATATATATATATATATATATATATATATATATGTATATATATATATATATATATATATATATATATATATATATATATATATATATATATATATATATATATATATATATATATATATATATATTAGCACAGAATAGCTATAGCACAATTGACCATAAAAAAAAAGGCTTTTTAATGTTACCACTAAACAAAATCATTTATACCTCAACAATTTAGAATTCCAATTTCTTCAAAACTGTTAAATAATGATTAACCCAGTAAATTTCATATCATATAAATTTACTAAATTAAAACCATGTTTCAACAATAAAGCAAACTAATAAAGCGATGACAACTAAAAAAAAATAACATTTAATTTTAGAACAATTAAAATCAGTTATATAAAAAAATGTAATAAAAACTGATTCAAAAAAAATCTAGTAACTAATATTAGAATTAAAATATATAACAAATCTGAAAAAAGTCTAATCAATAACAGTCGTAAAAATTGATAACAAAAAAGTTATTATAATAATCTTAAACTTATCAGTGGTGGTATTGTATAATATATTATCAGTGGTGGTATTGTATAGAATATCGTAGAAAAAAAGGCATCATATTCCATACTTCTCAGTTTATTTTGGTTATATCTAGAAAAGAAAGACACTCCTCTTCAATTTTAACTTATACATCAGCAGCATATTGCTAAAATAGTTGAACAGAAGTTTTGTCTTAATAAGGTACATAATTGTAAAACTGAGATAATTTAACATAATTTCTAACCAATGTTGCATGCTCAGGGTTGCGTATCAATAATGCTAATTCTTGGAAAAAAAAGTTGGATCTAAGTTAGCTGACATACTTGATGTAACTTCTAAATAACTTTTTGGGTAAATGACTTTCCTGGATGCAGGTGGAGCAACATTTCTTAAAGTAATACAACTATAATTTGCGAATAAAACTTTAAACTATGTAAGAAAAGAATGTTGTAAGAACACAACATTCTTTTGACAACTTCCAGCAGAATTTTTTTTTTTCTTTGTCTATTCCTTATTATTTTTTCTAAAATAAAATATAGATCTAGTCCATAATTAGATACAAAGAAATATAAAACATAATGAAATATAGAAAAATTTATGTATATAAACTTACATGTCTACAAACAACAGTCCTATTTTATTTGACTTTTCATGTTGAATACATAAATAAAATTTAATTTTAAAATAAAACTTAATAGTGACCTGTGCAAATACAGTATTGAAATTACATAATATAATAATTACAAAGCATACACAGTTATGAAAAGTTGGTAAAAAACTCAAAGGTTCTGTATCCATAAAATAAAAAATGTGAAAAATCAATTCAAACCATTACACGACGGTAAAAAAAACAATTTAGGCAAAATGATAGCATTACAAGACTTTTCATTTTTTCTATACAAAATCAAAAGAATAAAAGTTTTTATTTTTAAAAATACTTTTAAATTTAAGCATTCTAAAGTTAGCTATAAAATTAAGGAACTTTTTCTTTGGTGCAGACCTAAAGAGAAACATCTTGTTTTTGTTAATTCCTTGATTGAAACTAAAAACTAGCGATTAAACTAAAACTTCATTTATTGTAGTAATACTTTTAATGGTCATATCTTCAGAATGTCAAAATATTTTGTATAGGAAAATTTATTTGCTTTAATTCAAATGTTCTGAATTCTTTTTTGTGGCTTTTAGTAGACAGTAGACAAAACTACATATATAACTGCTTGAAAAACTAAAATAAATTCTTGCTTTGCTACACCCTAGCATATACATATACATATTAAAGTACAGTTCCACTCCTGAGAACAAACTAACATAAAAATAAATACTTACAAGGGGAGTATATAGAAGAAATAGATGACATCACTGTAAGTTGCAACTGCAACTGCTTATGCAACAACCAAATGAAAATATACTTTAAAAAGTACATCAAATCAAAATAAAAATGAAAAAAAATTACTGCACTTAAAACATTGCTAGTATTGAGTAACAAATTACTAAAGATTGAAGATAAACCTGATCCACAAAAAAAATATACCAATAGTGTCACTGCACTAAAACTATTTGGATAGTGCTCATTTTTAAATTATAAATAATATCTAAATACAAAGACTTTAACTAGCTCAGTAAATAAGTTTAAATAAACGAATATAGTAAGAAAAGGTGAACTACTATTTAAAAGTAACTAAAAAGTCATTACTTGAATTTTGCTTTAAAAAAATGGTAATCCACGACCCTTAAGTTAACGCTAGGTCCCATATCAAGGTGTTAGCCAGGAATACATTCAAACCATGATTTTGCCAAATATTAGGAATTTATGATAAAATCATTATATTGTTTAAAAAAAAAAAAAAAAGGTCATTGAATTTTGGTAAATTTAAACCAAATGGGAATTCTGAGGTGTACTTTTTGGCATTTTTTCCAATGCTGGTCATTGGGCTAGCTAACACCCTGCATAATTAGTGATTTATTTTTTCTACAAAAGTAAGTTAATGTGGATCTAAAAAGAACCAGAATAGAGTATAAAGTAAAATACACTGTGTTTTTTATTTAAAAAGTTTTGAAAAAATATATTACAATAAAATATCATAAATAAATGACTTGGTCATTTCATATGGTCACACCATATTCAAAACTCAAAAACATTTTAATACATAGTCACAAAATGTAAAAGAAAACAAAAAAAGCAAATGTATGCTAATGTATGACAAAAAGTCAATACACTACCATTTTAACAAAATTTGCAACAGATTGTAAATATAACAAAAATATAATGTAAAAAATATAATACATCAGGATTAAGATTAAAAAATCAGGATTAAATTTTAAATCTTACATTAAATCTTAATTCATGATATTATCACAGAAGATATATAAAATATAAACTCAAACAATGCATCTTGAACATTTCCAAACTTTCTTTGATGACAAAACAGCATTTGACACTGACTCACAAGACATGTGATACCACTCCATGCATTCATTACACTGTACCATTTTTTCTGCACCATTATCAGGTAAGCGACAAGCACAATATATAGAAAAAACAGATACACTTTTCCTAGACATATGCACAACTGCACTTTTTTCACAGCGCGGAAAGGGGGTAAAGTAGTTGCTTTGCAGACAATCATGCAAATGTTTTCTCATGGCATTCTGATCATATGATATGGTACTAACATCAACACACATGCATAGATCTAAAGCAAATGCAATGGCAAATAAGCCACAATCAATTGATCCAACTTGTTGTTGACAAGGTTGGTATTCACAACATATCTTATTTAGTGGACAGCATAGAAGTGATGAAATTTGCATTTTAATTTCCATAGTAGGTGTTTCTGATTTCATTAAGTCATATATTTTTATATGTCCAGGGGAACAGTTCAAAGTGCTAACTAGCAACCAATGTAGGTTACCGTCATGCAAGATTTGAACCATTTCATGTGGCATTATATCGTATGTTAAAGTTTGTCCCTGTATTGATGAAAACTGATTTTTTAAAATGACTTGTGCTGCATTTATATCAATGTCAGACAACATCTTACTACACAAAATCCTCTCATAGAGAACATCAGAAATGTTTGTCACATTGATTGTTTTTGCTTTTGCTTGCTTTCTTGATTTAGCTATTTGTTTTGATATTGAAGGTCGCAACGAAAAAGAGTTACATGGCTTTCTACCTCTTGGCCGTCCTTTCGATCTTATGACAGCTGGCACTCTTAAAGAAGATCTTATTTCAGGTATTACATAGTTATTTTTATCTGATTGTTTAATAGATTCTGATGCACTTGCATTGTCTTGCAGACCACTGTTTATCAATTGCAAACCTGATGTTGTGTCTATATTGACATTCAGTATTTTTTTTGTGTTTTCAATTACTTTTTTCTGGTCATATTCATCATTAGAAGACAATAACTTTAAATCTGACAGAATACTATTAGTTGAAGGAATTGATGTAATTTCAATTATGTTGCCTGATTGCCACAGATTAAGCAAGTGTTTTACTTGTGATAACTTTTGTTCAAAGTCTGCTCCACAACAAGTTGCAAGGTAACAAGCTAAAGCCTCAGTTTCTGTGTGAGCAGTTCTATATCGTTCTTCTTCATACTTACAATTTTTTAATTGTTTTTTTTTTTTTGTGATTTGTGGTCAACATGTGATATGTCTAATGTTGAAAAATGATCTGATCTCGCAAAATCTTTTAAAACTTCAGTTTTTTTCCACCTTGATGGCAAAGTCATTTCTAGTTTATTGTCAAACAGTGACATGTTTCTAAAATCTCTTGCACAAAAAATATGCCAGCAAGGTAACTGAAAATTCATAAAAAATGAACAGGTGCAATCAGTGAAGTCATTGCTAATGATATACTGGCAACTGTCTTTGGTCAAAAGTATATCAATTTTATTGTGCAAAACCATTTCAACATTTTCCTTGGTTAAATACTTTAGAAACTGTGAGGAGACTAAATCTGTTGCCAAGTTTGTTAGTGACTGTCCAATTTCTTTAGGCATTCCAGATGTGGCAACTGTTCGAACACCTATCTCTCTGTATTGTTTATAGCCCTTGTCACTGGAAATGTTCAATGTGGTATCATTAAATTATTTAATGGCTTCAGACAAATGCATATTAGGTTTGATAATTTTTTTTAACTGTCGATTAAAGTTTTCAATTCTATTGTTAGTGTTGTTACCTAGTGTTAACTTATTTTTTCGGTAAGCTGTACACCATTGTTCCTTACATGAATGCCTATTGTTTAAAAAATATGTTTTAAAGGATTCAGGAAACTCATGATTATTCACTATACTGTCATATGCTTCATGGTAATCAGCTTCTGAGTTTGCATATACCATTTTTAATATCAAATTCATCAGCTCACATTTAGTTGATGGAGGTACAGACAACTGTATGACAACTTTTTTGATGTACTTTATTACATGAAAACGACACAGCAACACTGATGAATGCAAGAATGTAGGACTCAAAACATTTATTAACCCAATATCTTTGTCCACAATAATAACTTTAGTTATGATGTTATTATTTTGTAAACAAAACCATTCCACAACCCATTTGAAATTGTCTATAGTCTCATGCTGAACAAAAGCAAATAAAACTGGCACTCCAAATCCTAAACCATCTTCTACTAAAAAAACTAATAGTGGAAATCGTTCAATATTAACTTTGTAAGTAGTATCCACAAAAACTACTTCACCATATCTTTTATATTTCTCTTTCATCACACTAGTTTGCCAACATAAAGCTTGTAACTCATCATCCTTTAGAAGAATAGAAACTGAACAACCATCGTCTTTTTCTAAAAGTTTGTTAACAGCATCTACCAGCAACTGTTCTTCATTATTATTACTACGCTCAACTTTTTTATTCCTAGCTTTTAAGTTGTGTAAATCCTGACTAGTCACACATTTCATGTGCCCATCTAAATGCAATATTTGTTTTATCTGTAATGGGGTGACATTAGCATTTATTAATTTTATTATAAGTTTTTCCTCCTGCGTTGTCATCTTTCTATTCCTAGGATAGCAACAAAATAATTCTTCACTTGTTGGATGATTGTGGGCCTCTTCTAGTTGAGTCACCTTTAATTGAATTAATTTACTTTTTTTTTAATAAAAAATTTAGTTAAAATGTTTAACTCGTTAAAAAGACTAATTGCTAAGTTATCTAAAACCAAGAAATAGTTTCATCTAACTATTCTAAACAATTAAATTACAAAATAAATATTAAACTTAAGTACTGTGTACCTCTAAAGCAAAACTGCCTGTTTTACTATCATAACATTTCAGTTGTAATCTAACTTTCATTGAACAGTCAATGGCAAGTTTTGTTTGATGCGGTCTACAAGTTGTCACTTTGCTTGGGCGTGGTTTCCCATAGTGTACACATGTAATAAGAAGATCATTATAAATAAACTTTTCAGCTTTGCTGTCATCAAGCTACAATTTAACATATGAAAGTTTTCCTTAAAAACTTAAAACTTAAAATGATCAAACGTCTATACATTTACTCATTAAAATATTGGTCATTTGAAATGTTTAACAAATATCAATATTAGTTTCAAAAAAATATTACCTAAAAAAATTAACTAAATATTACCTTAAGCTTGTGACTACTTCTGAGTGTATGGGATGACTATTTTCTTCACAGTACTCTTGTAACTTTGATTCAAAATCAGCAAATGAATCAAAGCGGTCAAATTTTTTTATTTCTAGAATAGTATAACAAATTATATAAATTAAAACATTACACAGAAAAATTTTGCACATGAAAAAGTGTAAGTGATCCAAATTTTTGTTGACAAGGTTGGTTCAAAACATAACTTATTTATATGACAACATAGCAGTGGTGCAACTTTCATTTTAGTTTAGTGAACTTTTTGATAACAGCTTTTATTGTAACTCCTGATCAAACAATGTGCAAAAAATTTCCAAGATATTATTTTTTTTTTTGTAGTATATACTACATTTTGCCATTTTTATAAATAAGTTACAAAAGAGTTTTACGTTTTAAAATATCAATAAATAAAACAAATTAAAAAACAGAACTGGACTCAAAGAACATATGAGTGATGTAGTACCACCTCAATCTTTTCACAGAGACACATGTTTTAAGTATTATTAACCCCTTCCCTGTAAAATTTTTATTTTTCAACATTTAAAAAAAATTTGTTTTTGTGTATATCTATTTTGATAATAATTTTGTCAAAAATAAACAGAGACCCCTATTTGCAATATTGTAATACTTTTACAATACATAAAAAATTAAAACTGATAAATTTTACTCTTATTACTGTAACTTTATGATATAATATTTAATTATATTATTATTTATAATTTTATTTCTTTATAAATACCTTTGTTACTCAAGCCAAAAAAAAAAAATAATAATAAACCTTTTTTTTTAACGAGATGAAGGAAGCAAATTCTGAAAAACTGACTTTATAGGGAAAAAACTGGACAAATAAGAATTTTTTAAATTCTAAAGCACGTACGAATGGTCACAGTAAAAGGATGAGACTTGATAGAATGACGAGAAACAAGACTTGTGGATGAATAAAAAAATGCTACAGTTAGTTTCATTTAAGCATATTTTAGCAATTTTATGATTTTTTCTAAAGTTGATGAGGTTATAACTTTTCTCTTATTACAAGTTAATAAAAACCACTTTTTAAAGGAAAATAACTATCTAGAAAAAAGTTCTTAAAAAACTGAGACACTTGTTGAAAATTAGAAAAAAGTTATACAGTTCTAAAGTAGTCTGTTTTGACCATTTGTAAATCATGGGTTACTGTGTTATTTTCTGACAAAAAGAGTTGTACTTGGAAGTCTGAAATTTCAAATTTAACCTATCTACATAATCAGGCTTGGTCGGGAAGCGGGAGTGATTGCTCTCGAATACTGACCAAAATGGCCAGGTTTTTTAATCGTTTTGAGAACATTTAAGTTTATGTATGTAACAAAAAAATTTTGTTTTACAGACATACATGGAAACATACATAAACTTGAATGTTCTCAAAATATTTTGGTGCAGAAGAATAAAAAGAATATTCGCCAACACAAAAAACCGACCGATTCTAGGAACAAACTAATTCAAATTGTTAAAAAGAAATAAAGCTTTAACAACTGAATTGTACTAAGATAATCAAAATTGTATTAATGTTTTTTATAAAAAAAGTATGTATTTTTTATGTAGATGTAATTTTGTGTATCTGTTTTTTATCCTAATGTAATCTTTTAAAGCAATTTTTATGATTTACTTTGTAAATATAGACTTTCAACAATAATTTCATTTTCAATGAAGATATTAATAATCATCAAAGTTAATAAAACTAATTATGAAATAAACATATAAGAAGTTTCTGTTTACTAAACACAAACATGCATACAAAGTAACTCACGGATGAAAAAGCAACACGCCTGAGATCACGGCAGAACACAATTATATATAGCAAGTTATTAGATATAAAGAAGAGTTTTAGGTTATTGGTTTACTAACTCTAATTATTGTAGCTTCAGTTGCCATTCTTAAAAACTCGTTATACTTTTTTCTGCTTTAAATACTAATTAAAATTAAAAAGCCTACTCACTAAACATCATCAGTGATATTGGGAAGCAGTTTCGCTTCCTCGTCACAAGGTATTTTTAACCTTTTTAGTTGATGTCTATCTAGTTAATTTAAATTCTATAGTAATTCAATGATTTAATTATTTCATTTGTTTATCTTACTAAGAATAATAGTTTCAAACATGTTAAACTTTACAAACTACCCGAAGCATAAAACAATTATTAAACAAATTAATTTTTTTATTTATAAAATAATTTAGCTTAAATAAAACTTAAACTTGCATTAGTTTTATTAGAATCTTGTTAGACTTTACGGGGCCAGTGGCTATTTTTAGTTTGGAGGCCTTTTTTTATGTGTCAGAGCGTAAAAATGACTTAAAAAAAAAGTCTTTATGACTTTTTTGGGGCCCCTAATATTGCAAGGCCTGGGGATATAGCCTTTTCTAACCCTAACCCTCCTTAATCTTTGCAATTCTTTACCACAGCGATAGATGTCAACAGCTGCAGAAAACATAATATTATGAAGGTCACATTTTAGAAAAATTTGGGTAAACTGTAATATTATGGTCATCACAGGAAAAGGGTTAGTTCTACTATATACCCCATTATTTATTTTTATGAGTTTGCTGAGATGGATGCAGAGAGGGTACTTTTTAAAACTTTATTTATATTTAACATCTTTGGATCCTTCTTTGTTTTTCAGACAAGTTTCCTTAATGACATTTTGTTATTTATATTACATTAGAGACAAAAGGAAAAGTTAAATAAATTATCTACAATTGAATGCTTATATACAACAAGATACTAATGCCTTCCAGACATTAACCTGTTTTGTAGAACAGAACATGTTTTGCAGTTCAAATGGTGTGTAATAATGTAGCTGTTTGTTGACATTTACAATAACATAATTAAATCGAGTTATTAAAATTTTCACTTGCTTATTGAATTGAATCATTTGAATTGCAGGATTTTAATCCAAGAAGCAATTCTTAAAATATCTACAGTATATTTTGAAAAAAGTTTTTTAAATTGATAAAGGAATGTATATTCGTAAAACAATAAATTATTTTTCTTTATATTTTACTGGATTTCATTGGTGATTTAATCTTTTTAATATTTTTTACTCATGAAGACAACACTCCTTCAACTATATTATTTTCTATCAGTACAAAAATTAAATAGTCATGGCAACTTGTTAATAAACTTGAACACCAATACTGCAACTAACATTGCAAACTAACTGCAATCAACATTGCAAATCAACCAGAATTAATACATAAGCAGTTCAAATAACTGAACATCTTACTATACAGTTATTTAATTAAAGTCTACAAAGCTGTTTGCTATCTGCTTAATGTTTCAAGAAAATAAATCTAATTAGCTAGAAGTAAAAAAAACGACCTGGTTATTTAATAACTATTAAATTCTCCAAATAGTTAATATAATATTGACTATCATATTAATATAATATATCATATTATTATCAGCTATTTAATACCTAATAAATCATGTATTAATTATTTTGTTGGAATTTTCAATAGAAAGCACACTAATACATTTGGTTTAACCTATATATTTAATGAATTTATTAAGTTGTGAAAAAGATGTGAGAAACTTTTTCAACACAATTAAAAAAATTTAACAAATTTAGTTTCTTTTAGAATGTTATTAAACAAGATAAAAAAATTTTACTTTTAAGGAAAGAACTTGATGAAACCAATTGCTCATTTGACAAAGAAATGACTTTGCTAGGCAGGCTATCACTATTTTCAAAGATATCCATAGCCTATAAGTAATAAAATACAGATTGCAACAATATATGTTTATATGTTTATATATATATATATATATATATATATATATATATATATATATATATATATATATATATATATATATATATATATATATATATATATATATATATATATATAAAATATATATAATATATAGTATATATAAATATATATATAAAAATATATAATATATATAAATAATATATAATATATATAAATATGCATATGTGTACGTGTCTGTGTGTTTGTGTGTGTATGTCTATGTGTGTGTGTGTGTGAGTGTGTGTGTGTGTGTGTGTGTGTGTGTGTGTGTGTGTGTGTGTGTGTGTGTGTGTGTGTGTGTGTGTGTGTGTGTGTGAAAATATATTTAACTCTTCTAAATGTGTGTATAAAGATGCTCTTAGAAAAGCGGATTTTGAGCTACAATTTGAAACAAAAATTGCAAAAATGTGAAATAGAAATAGAAATATAATTTAGATTAACCCTCAGCAAAAAGTTTTGAAAAATAATAGACAATAAGTATTTTTTAATAACCTCCTATCCTATCTAAACTCAAAGAAAGCAAAAAAATTACTATGGTAATTATTTTACTGAAAACATAAAAAATATCAAGGAATCAAAAAGGTTGTTAACATTAAAAGTAACTCTCAAACAACTCCAAATCTAATCATACAAAACAATATAACAAACCCCTTTGATATTTGTAATGCTTTCAACAACTACTTTACTAACATTGGTAAAAATGTCCAGGCAACAATTTCTTCATCCATGAATTAATTCACATATTACTTATCAAATCCTTCTCAAAAAAGTTTCTTTATAAAACCAACTGACAAACATAAAATTTCAAAAATGATAGAATCTTTAGATACAAATAAAGCTTCTTGACTAAACGGTCTGCTAGTTAAAATTATGAAACTATTAAAAACGGACCTTTCAAGAATTCTTTTTAACATTTTCAATATCTCTTTCTTAAGTGATATTTTTCCAGAAAACTAGAAACTGCCAAAGTTGTACCTATTTTTAAACTGATATAAAACTATATATTTTTAAAACTATAGGCCAATTTCCTATAATGTATAACTCTAAGTCAAATTCTTCAATGACAATAAAGTGTTTTTTGAATTACAATTTGGTTTTCAAAAAACTACTCTACATCACATGCTTTACTAAGTCTAACAGAAAAAATTAAAGATTCTTTGGATGAAGGAATGTTGGGATGTGGTATTTTTATTGACTTTTAAAAGGCATTTGACCATGTAGATGTCAACATTCTACTTAATAAGCTACTCTACTATGGCATTAGAGAAGTTTCAAACTCCAGGTTCAAATTTTCATTTCTAATAGAACTCAATTAGTATCTAATAGTGGTGTGAGCTCAAGCCTGAACAATATAAAAGTAGGTGTTCCTAAGGGATCTGTCATTGGCCCTTTGCTGTTTCTTATTTATATAAATAAAAGTTCTAAAGCTAAATTTCCCTTAACACCAAAAAACTGATTTAATATTATTTAAAATTCATCACAAAAAATAAGACCAACAGCTCAAAATTAAGTTAAATGGAAAAATTAAATGCAAAATATTTGTAAACTTATTAGGTATAAAGTCACACAAAAACTTAGTCAGGACTTACCATAACAATGATATATCGAATAAGTTGAATAGATCACTTACTATTCTGTCAAAGCTAAGACGTATCATACAACAAAAAACTTTAAAATCTATATACTATGCTT